TTAATAATGTCCCGGCGCTGTGCTAAGCAGCCATGCGTATTAGCTCATTTAATTCTCACAGGACGGGTCCTTTAATTACACGCATTGCACAGATTGAAAATGGTTCTCCTGCGGTTAGAAGACTCGCCCAATGCCAGACCCAATAAAAGACAGGGCTGTCATTCGAACCCAGTGGACTGGATCCAAAGCCTGGGCTCATAATCACCACACATCACTTCTGCGGCCCTGTCTCTGAAAATCCTTCTCTCACTTCTAATTTGCTTCCTTAAATTTGATACCACATGATCTCACTTAAATGTGGACTCTAATGAACAAAATAGAACCAGGGGCATGGATACATGGAACAGACTGGCAGGCGTCAGAGGGAGATGGGTGAAGCAGAGAGGATGAAAGAAGGTGAAGGGATTAGCCAAAAAACATGGACACAGACAACAGTGTGGTGATGGTCAGAGCGAGTGGGGACAGGGGCTGGGTAGAAATGGGTAAAGTAAAAATGGGGAGGGGAGGATGAGGAACATCTGTAATAGTGTGTAATAATTTTTTTTAAAAATTGTCACAGGGTAAGAAACAAGGTAATCAGCTTATTGGAATCTGTGCAGCATAATAATAAATAGGAGATGGGATGGAAATATTGGGAGGATGATAGCTAAAGGGTATAGGTTTTTGATGGGTTTTTTTGGAGGATGATAAAAGTATTCCAAAATTGATTGTGGTGATGGTTGCACAACTATGCAAATGTAATAAAAACCATTGAATTATATATTTAAAATGGGCGGACAGTGTGTTCTATGGATTACATCCCAATAAAGTTATTTGAAAAGGAGAAATAGGAGAGGCCGGAGAGCACTAAATGTGCAATTTGGTTGCTCAGAAATTCCTTGTGTTGTCAGTGTTAGCTAAATTCCAACAATGTACTTGTGTGGGGTAGGTGAACTCGGGCTAGGTAATATGAAGAAATTCAAAGATAGCTTCTGGGTACCACAAGGCTTTTCCTGTCTTCTTGTCTTTGCCTCCTGACTTTGAGTCCATAGGTTGTCCACCCTCCCTCTCACCGTGAGCCCTTGCCCACCACTCCCCTCCCAGGGAGACCCAGACAATGCCATCTTCCTAAGGAGGCGGGCCCTGCAGCAAGCCGTCCCTACCGGCCTCCAGATGAGGCCTCCCCTGTAAAGACAAGTGCTTCTCCCAGCAGCCTGGGGCACCGGCTTTCTGAACTCAGGCCTCTCCCCCTCCTCCCGCTGGAAGGGAGACCTCTGAGCCCAGTTCAGTTCTTACAGCCACGGGAATCCTACACAGCAAGCCGCTGCACTCTAGGCACTCATCCTTCCTATTCACGGACCAAGTTTTTCTTTTTTGTAAGAAGCTGTTTTACTTCCTAGTTCTGTCTTATGCTTTTATAGTAGACCTAGAAGAGTCTCTCTCTTTTATTTTATTTTATTTTATTTTATTTTATTTTATTTTATTTTATTTTATTTTATTTTATTTTATACATGAGAAAAAGAAAATGGTTGTAAACATAAAAAAATGTAAAAAGCCTTCTCCAAGCACCAGGAGTATTCAAGCTTACCGGAGGAGCCGGAGCGAGGGAGGGCTTGTCCCAAACTGGAAGCCCCATCTCATGTCACAGTTTGAAACAAATCCACTGACTGCGGAACTTGGAGGCCGGTGGGCTCCTTGCAGGGAGGCTCCGTTTACACTCAGAATGTCAGGGAGGAGCTAGAGATGAAGAGGGGGCTGGGGAAAGGGTTCCTCCTCCAAACTGGTCACACCTGAACATTTGCATAACGGTACCTCTGCTGAGCAGTGAAACAGAAAGACAAAATTGGGGGGAGGGGGTGGCACAGCCCCAAAGGACACTGCGACATTGGCCAGGTAGTTTAGGGACCAGGCTGTCATTGACAGAAAAAAAGCCAGTGGGTAGGGTAAGAGCTTCAGTCCAGTTTCTCTCCATGTCATTCAGAAGCCGCCAATTATATATTGGGGAGCCACACCCATGTCACTCCAGTGCCTACGACAAGCCAAGGACCCCACCCCTTCCTGACTAACAGTGGGAGAGCCTCGTGGGCAAAGTGTGGGGTTCTGCATTCAAAATGCACGCGTTGTTGTTTTTAACTCTTTCTTTTTAAATGTCTTTCATTGACTGCTGACTTTCCTGTTGTTTTAAAATTCACATATATTGACAACCCCATAATAAAAGTGTTTACTTCTTGACAATCTTTTTATATATTTCACTCTGATATATGTATGCACATTTGACCATGCTTATTCCAAACCTCTTTCTTTGTTTCCACAGCGAAGGACATGAGTCTTTGTCCCTGCTCTGTCGTTTACTTGCTACGTGCCCTTGTGCAAATGAACTTCTCTGTGCCTTAGCTTCCTAATCTGCAAAATCAAGGTCATAGAATATCCACTTACTGAGATGTGGGGATTACGGAAGGAAGGTAAACTGTGCGGCCAGGCGCTTACCCCACGGTGAGAAGCAGCTGCTATTGCGGCCCATCTCCATCTCAGCAGCAGGAAGTTGGACAGGGGACATATGCACAGGGTTTCCTGTGACCCGGGCCCTGTCCTGAGCCTTTTTACAGATGTGAACTCCCTCACTCCTCAGGACACCTCATGAAAGCAACTACTATTACCCATTCTCATTTTACAGATGAGGAAGACACAGGGCACAGAGAGGTTTCTTAATTTGCTCCAGGTCACAGAGCACACTGCTGAGAGGCAGAACACAATGGTCCCGGGAGCTGTGGCCACCCCAATGCAGTATCTGTGGCGAAACGGGGGAAACAGGACCTCTTTCCTCTGCTACACACCCACTGCTCACCAACACAGGCCGATCCCGGGCTGCATCCCCGGGTGCAGTCGGAGCCAGATACACTCCGCAAGGAGCTTCCAGTCTAAAGGGAGGCACAGCAAGACCACCGCAACCTAGGACGTAGGGACAGAACAACATTTCTGGAGAGGATTTCGCAGAAGAATTTCTGGAATCACAGAGCACCATTTGGACTTGGAGGAAGGAGGCAGTGATAGGAAACAATCTCTTTTTTACAGACGCCTGGCCCAGTGTCACTCTGTAATGGAAACTGGAGTCAGAAACCTCTTATTCCTAGTAATAAAAAAAATAAAAAATAAATAAAAAATGCCAGGACTCCTCTTTACTAATGCTCTAAAGGCTCATTCAAAAGACACAGAAGGCCTACAGACCAATCAGCCATCTGAGAAGCAGGGCGGCGGGGATGAGGGTCTCTACAGTCAGGCCCTTCGTTGCCCACCAGGGATGACCATGCTGCTGAGCCCCTCCCCTCCCAATACAAGGCTGGCACTCAGAGTTGGCCGATGGCACCAACAACCCCTTCATTTCATGGGCTCACAGCCCCTCTGAGGAGGGAGAGCATTTATTGTCTGGATGGTGAAGTTCTGTTCTTGCCTTTGTACCAATACTCGACATTTTACTTTTTTCAAAAAAAAAAAAAAAAAAAAAAGTTAAGGAAAGACTGAACTTCTACACTACCAAGAAAGGAAAGGACTTGCCTTTCAAAATAAGGAGGTGCATTAGGAAGAACCTGATCGCCGACTAGGTTGCAGTAGAGACCCCAATTCCATTGTATTAGCTATTGAAGTCTACAGAATGCTGGCTAGGCAGGCATCCAGCCAGAGCCCCCCTGGACACTCCATCCAAGGGTTTTACTCTTTAATTCTGCCTTCCCAGGTGAGATAAACCGTGGGAGGGTGAGGGCTTCCCACTGTACTTGGACCAAGATCCAAGCTTCTTATCAGGGAGCACAAGGCCAGTCTGATCCGATGCCTGTCCTGGCGCTGGCTTACCCCTTTAGCCACACCTCTGCCCCACATGGGCCTTGAAGATAGAGGGCCTCTAACCAGCTCTGAGCATCGCTGGGCCCTTTATACCTTTACATCCTTTACAGCTACAATGTCACCTCCTCCAAGAAACCTTCCCTAACGACCCCTTCTGAATAAGGCTGTTCCCCACCCCCACCCCACCCCACCCATGCACACACCCCTTTACTTCCTCTCAACTCTCGTTCATCTCCTTCAGAGCCCCTGGCCTGGGCTGGGCCTGGACTGTTTGTCCTCAGGTCCTCCCCTCCCCTGTGTTTCCAGCTATGTGTGCATCAACTGCCTTCTGGCTAGGTTTGGCCAATGGCAACCCTTGGAGGAAACTGGCAGGTGCCATAAGGATTAAAGCCACGTGTCTCCTGTGTCTATCTCTGCCTTGGGAGGCTTCTCTGCAGCTGTTGCTTTCCCTCGTTGGCTCCAGTGTTCATGTGGAAGGCCACAGCTTTTCCACCCCAGACTCCAGCAATGCTACCTCTTTCCACTGCCTTTCCAGCTGACGGTGGTAGCTGCTTCCTACTGTGTCCAGTCTCTGGGCGGCCCTCCTCCCCTCTGCTTGTGTTCTCAGTTCTCTACCACCTCTGTAACCAACTCCCTGCTTTAAATCCTATTTCCAGTACTCGAGTGGTTTCTGTTTTTCTGATTAGACCTGACTAATTGTGCACATAATTTGTCATTTTTTAAATTAATTTGTGCACCTACTTAATTATTGTCCAGACCACTGCAAACTCTACAGGGAGGGACTACATCTGTCTTGTTCTTTATTACATCCCCATTGCCCAGCATAGGACCCAGTAAATAATGAACTGAGTTAATTAATAAAACAAAGTACTTTCTAAGTGATGAAAAGAAGTAAAATTGGTATTTCCCAGGAAATCCTAAAATTTACAAAAAGAAAATAGAAATTTCATGTGGAAATAGTGTGCATTTATGTACTTGGTTCATTATTAAAACAACAGCAGAGAGCGGTTTTTTATCTTTTCAACTAAACAGATACACCAAAATGTCCTTCATGAACTAAGTGAGGGTCAAGCAGTTTTGGCTAAGAAATAAGCTCAGCTCCCAGGAGCCACCTCAGGACAAACATCCACAGGGTCCTGGGTCTGCACAATTGTGCACACGACAGCTGAGCCGCGGGGACAAACCTTTTCACAGTCTCCACCGACTCCTGCTCCGCCAGCTCCTTCTGCAGCTCCCTCTCCTTGGCCTCCTTCTGGCCGATGGGGCAGTCCTCGGGGACGGTGAAGAGGGACAGAGCATCTTTGCTGTCCTCTTCTCGGAGCACTTTAGCGAACACCTTCTCAGCCAAGAGCCGGACTTGCTCGTCCACCTCAGAGATGTTCAGCTTGGGGAACTGGCGCGGCATCTCGGCTAACAGAGAAAGAACAAGCGTTAACCTTCACGGATTATGGATGGCTGGAGTCACCGTGGGGGGACGAGAAGGTACTGAAATAAGGGCCAGGCCCAAATCCTTGGGGTCAGCTGCCTACTCAGGATTTCCCCCTGACAAAACTCAGCATGCCAATGTCTAGAACTAGCTCAACAAGAAACTGGATGTGAAGAGTGGAGGAAAGCAAGTGACCGGAAGTCAAAGAATGAACTGTCCACTAGTCTGAACTCAGGACCCGAAGCACACCCGCAGCCCTGCTTTTCCCTGCTCTGTTTCCGTGGAGGAGAAGGGAGATGTTATTCCCGCAGACTGAGGAGGCCATTCCAGGTGCACCAGTGACCAAACCTCATTCCCACGCACAGAGGGAAAGCCCAAAGGGTTTGATGATTATCATAAGGCCCCACAGGAGGACAGCAGAGCCCTGGGGAACCCCAGGCTGCATTCCTCTTCTCATGAAACAAGGTCGTTTGCTGAAAAGAGAATTTTCAATCACAGTTCCAGTCTTTGAAGTCCTCTGGAACTTCTAATAAGACACAACAAATAAAATACAGTGCCTCCCTCCCCTGCTCTTATTTATGGGAAATACGTTGCAAGACCCTCAGGGGAAGCCTAAAACCCCAGCTAATACTGAACCCTATAGTCACTAAAAATTTTTTAAATATATTTTTATTGATTTCAGAGAGGAAGGGAAAGGGGGAGAGATAGAAACATCAATGATGAGAGAGAATCACTGATAGGCTGCCTCCTATATGCCCCCTACTGGGATCGAGCCCAAAACCCAGGCATATGCCCTGCCTGGGAATAGAACTATGACCTCTTGGTTCATAGGTCGATGCTCAACCACTGAACCACACAGCTGGGTAATATTCTATGACTTTTTTATACATGTATACCTATGATAAAGTTTAATTTATAAATAAGGCACAGTGGGAGGTTAACAACAATAACTAACATTGAAAATAGAAATAGAAAAATTATAGCCATATACTGTCATGAAAGTTATGTGAATAAAAGTTATGAGAATGGCTTTGGGGCAGTCATTAGGTAAAATAAGGGTTCCTTGAACACAAGCCCTGTGACATAGTTGATCTTAGACGGAGACAGCTCAGTGACAAACGGGTGGGAAGCATCTACAGCGTGGGGACGCCGGACAAAGGGATGACTCACCTCACGGGAAAGACAGAGCAGGCCCACACGAGATTTCATCATGCTGCTCAGAGCATTATGCAATTTAAAATATACGAATAGTTTATTTCTGGAACTTTCTATTTAATATCTCCATGCCACAGTTAACCGTGAGTAACTACAATCACAGGAGGTAAAACTATGGATAAAGAGGGACTATTGTAAAGATTTGGATTCAGGAATACTCTTTACCTTTCGCAGCCCAGCTGAAAAGTCGCTTCCTGTAAGCAGCGTGCCCTTATCCACCTCCCTGTATTCCGTTCCTTACTGGCAGTGGCTGGCCTACAGCACCTGGCTAGTTCCTTTCTTTTCTGTTTTTCTGCCTTTCTGTCTTTTTTTTTTTTTTTCAACACTTAGATAGCATTGATTAAGTACATTCTGCCTTTATATTTATTAAGTCTGTTAATCCTATCATTGCCATTTTACAGATGACACCATGAAAGCACAGAGAGCTCATTGGCCAGTGAGCAGAGACCTATGCTGTTCTCAGCCGTGGCTGCCCTGTCCTGTTCTTCTCTGAGCCTCTGCTCGGGGATTCGAACCCAGAACCTGGTTCCATTTGTACTCTTCACCTGCTATGCTGTGCTGCTTCTCTTTGTCCATCTGGGTGTCAGATGGACACGCAGCGTCACACTTATGGAATGGGTGAATACTGCATCCTTCCAACAGGGAGCGGCTCTGGGAGAAGAGCTTCCTGTCTCCACCTATCACCATGGTTTCTTCAGGGAAGGTTTAAAGAGAGAAGTGGCATTGACGCCCAACAGATGAGGATGAAGGTGAGACGGTGCCCAGTTGGTGTCTGGCAGGGAGCGGAAGCAAATATGGGGGAGGGGGAACTCACTGAGCAACCTAGGGACAGACATTCTCCGCATCTGCCCAGTTTCTCAGCTTGAGAAAAAGGAGCTAGACTAAACAGTCTCCAAGTTCTTCTCTGCGGCACCTGGGTCTCATTCATGACCCAGACAGGAAGGAGACGAGCATGCTAGTAACGGGCAGTAAAGAACATCTGTGGGCCCCTTAACTGTGAAATCAATTTCCTCCTTCCCTCCACACCAGCACCCTGCCTTTCCTGGGCCTCTCTCACCGTTAGGGGGTTGAGTGGGAGGGAGCTCTTTAGGACAGAGAAACCCCAACACACACCACTGCTTGTCTGTGGTGGCAGAGATCAGAACAACAGCAAAGGCCTTGCCTGCAAAGAGGAAGAGCAGAGCTGACTGGAGATCACCATGTCCTACAGCAGAGAGAAGGGGAAGCTGGAAACCATCAGAGCAGAGGCTGGGAGACGGTGACAGGGCAGAGAAATGGAAAGAGAGACAGAGAACCAGATCCATAAGGAGCTGTTAGGTCAGAACAAATCTGAATGGACCTTCACCTCCCCAGTCTAACGCCACAGGTCAGGGGCAACGTCTCAAAACGTCACATCTCAGAAGGAGACATCCCCTGGGCCCCAGGCAAGGAGCAGCCAAAGCCAGGAAGCACCCACACCACTGAACACCTCCTAGAAACTACTTCTAAGAAAAGGATCTGAAGGAAGGAAAATACACAGGAGGTTTACAGGCATAACTTTAACATGTCTGCATTAGAGCAGACTCCCTTGAAAAAATTGCTAAGCAACCAAAATTGTCATGAAGAGGACAATGCAGCCACACAAAATAACAGTAAGTGTGTGGGGATGAGGGAGGGGAGATACATAAAACGATGCCCAAGGCTCGGTTGCAATGACATGAAAATGTATCCCCTGGTGAACAAGGGCTATAAGAGAGACATGCGCTCAGATGGCCAGACGGCAGGACTGCCGTTGCGAGAGGCAATGTCTGATTTTGACCATTAATGCTGTTATACTGTCATTTTAACAAACACAAAGGAAAGAGGAAGGAAATGAAGACTGAAGAGCTAATAAAAAAGAGATAAAATAGAAAAACAAACTTCAACATTGCAGGTTTTGACCATTAGGGCCCTCCCCCACCGAACCCACCCCAGGCAGGCCAGCCCCAAAGGAATCACACCACTGAGACCCATCTCTGCATTAGCTCTCACCCTGGACAGAAGCTGCCCACCACCACCTTCCCATCCCCACAAACACACACCAGCCACACACCCAGGCCCCCTCAGAAATGGGCATTTGGGGGAGAGGGGTCCTTTGTGCCCAAGGGCTCTGATGCCCAATCCTGCCATGCTTTCCCATGAAGCATTTTTAGCGTGCTCAAGTCAACAAAACATTTTCAGGATTCACCATTCTACAAAAGATCCCCCTCTTCCTTTAGCTTAAATCAGCCTTTCTCAAATCGGGTCCCTTAAGATGCCCATACCTATTTCTGGTAGAACAGGTCCTATAGTCACGTATGAGGGAGATGCTATATCCCATAGCCCCTCAATCCAGATTCACCAGGCACATCAAAGACTCAAGGATCACAGAGTACCATTTCCCCACAAACCCCCTCACCCTCTTCCCTTTTTTGTTTTTTACAGAACCATATTAATCCCCTGCAGTGGGCCTCAGGCTGTATCCTCGCTGCCTTCTGGGCATCCTTGGCAGACAGTCCCCACATACCAGCCCCTCCTCCATGGCTCGTCTGTGTTCTCAGCCCCACAGACACGGGCCACAGGGGGAGGAAAGCCCGCTCTGCAGGTGCAATGCAGAGCTTCAGCTCCAGCTGCTTGTTCAAAGCTGGCGTTCAACTTTCTGTCAGCCGGAGCCAACAGGCGTGGGAGGCGTCACCGAATTCACCGCCAGGGGCTCACGATCCAGCTTATCTCACCCTCACATACAACACCCTGCCATGAGTCTGTAGAAGCGGCCTGCAGTTAGAAAGCTGTAAAATGCCACCCATTTCAACAAACAGGAACTGTTCTTGGCACCACGGTCCCTCCAGAAAGAAAGCACCGTGCCCTGTATGTAAACAAATGAAGCTGCTTCCTGCTCTCGCCTGAATCCCACCGTCGGCACCCGCGACACAGACCTGATCCTGGCACTGGAGTCTCCATGGCTGCTCCTGGGGATGCCACACAGGCTACGCACTCGGGCCAGGGCTGCAGGCTGGGCTGGGCGGGAGGCTGAGCTGAGTCAGTGTCTGCGCAGCAGCTGCCGGCTCCTATCTGCAGCTGCTGGGGTGGGAGGGCTCTGCTTTGCATATCTGAGAGCAGCCTTGAGCGAGAGCTGGAAATTCTCCCTTGAAGATGAAATGGAAGTGGAAAATTTCCAAGAGCCCTAACGGGCTCAGGTCATGCCAATCATCCACGGCTGCTGTATCCTGAACGCAGTGCCCTGGCCCTGTTCACAGCCCTCTCCGGAGCAAGCAATTCAAGCCACGGCCCAGCCTTCCTGACCCACCACAGAAGGTAAGCACCGCCTCCCTCTAGCATCCAGAGGCCTCCTGACAGCGGAGCAGTGCCCTGCAATACATCGCCTTTGCTGCCTCCCCTCAGAAGGCAAGCGTCAGCTTATCGATATTTCAAACTCTCTATCCCTCTCTCTTCCTCTCTGTAAAAAATCAATAAAAATATATTTTTTAAAAAAGAATGCCCATCAAAACAACCTATTGGGGGCACCCCAGCACTGGCAGGGGAGCCTTGAGCCTCCTCTGAAAGAGGGAAGGTCTATCAACTGCTCCAGCCTTTCCCAGGGAAGGACAGAGACTCAGAGGGGAAACAAGCAGGAGCAAGCTGAGATGAAAAGCTGGCAGATCTTATTCCAGGCCTTCCTTTCTCACCCCAGGGAGCCTGCGTATCACAGGTGAGTGGGCAGCATGACAAGCTCTACCAGAGTGTGACTGTGCGCATGTACACACACATACACACACACACACAAAGTATGTCCCACTCCACCCACCTGAGCCCAACCTCCCCACCCTCTCCTTACTGCCGCTCCCGGCTCCCACGTGGGCCTCCAGCTCTGAGAAGCCTCCAGAGCCCTGGCTGGACTCAGCAGCTGGGAAGGTGGGGATGCCTCCAGTGACCCACAGAGCAGTCCTCTTAAAGCAACCAGGGTGGCGGCTTACAGCAGAATCGGGACGCCAAGTTCCACCCTCCATCTGCCCTTTAGAAAGACAGTGCTGGGTGGGAAGGCTCAGAACAGACACACGGCCTCCCAGGGACTTAGATAAGTGGCGTGGGGAAATAACCGTGAGCAAAATGGCTATTTCTGTGGTGCTGTTGAAATCCTGGGGAGAAGAGCCCAGTTGTTTACTGGGAGGCTGACCATGGCCCTCATTTGGGCCTGAGTCACCTTCTTGTATCCAATCGTGAGGTTGTGCCTCCCTGAGCCCACATAATAGCTCCGGTGCAGACAGAGCAGGATTACATGGTTGAAACACGATCCTTGGGCCACTGCTGAGCTTTAGCTACCCAGGGATTAGGTCCCACCTGTCCTCACAGCTGTTTCATAAACAGCGCACCCAGCAGGCTGCCATCCACTTAGAGGGAGGGTAATATGTATTCATTAAATAATTAAACGCCCTGAACTCACAAAGAAAACGAATCCAATCCCTTAGTCCTGGTCTGCCAGAGGGAGAAGAGGCAAATGATATCGTCTGCTGCTGTGTTTGGGGGAGGGGAGGCCTGAGGGGGGAGACTGCTAGGGGAGCGTCCCAGCCCATGCATCTGAGAAACTACCTAGACCCAATGCATGCAGGGAATTTCATCTGTACCCTGAACCAAACTATGGCTAGCCTTAGCCTCCACACGCATGCGCCAAACTGTGGTCTACAGAACATAAAAGATTGGAAGGCTTGGAAAATACTGCATTCCATTGTCCCTTATGGGGAGTCGTGCACAATTCCTACTAGCGGATTCTAAACATCTGAGAAACCCTGCAGTAAAGAAAACTGCTTCCTTCATTTAACCCAACAGGCTTATTTGGCCCTCCCAACCCTCCCGTCAAAGGAAAAAGTACCTATTAATATCCCGTGGCCCGGGCTTTGGAAAATGCCTTCCCCTAGGAGCCTTCATTCCTGGGCCCAGCTGTGGGTGTGAGACCCATTCCATCGGGTCCCGTTGGAGATAGGCACCACCCTCGCTAACGTGACACAGGATGGAACAACTGGCTCGGTCGAAACCGGTTTGGCTCAATGGATAGAGCATCAGACTGCGGACTGAAATGTCCCAGGTTCGATTCCGATCAAGGGCATGTACATTAATTGTGGGCACATCCCCAGTAGGGGGTGTGCAAGAGGCAGCTGACCGATGATTCTCTCTCATTGATGTTTCTAATTCTCTATCCCTCTCTCTTCCTCTCTGTAAAAAATCAATAAAACATATATATTAAAAAAAAAAAAAAAAAAAAGCCGAGACCGGTTTGGCTCAATGGATAGAGTGTCGGCTTGGGGACTGAAGGGACCCGGGTTCGATTCCGGTCAAGGGCATATACCTTGGTTGCAGGCATATCCCCAGTAAGGTGTGTGCAAGAGGCAGCTGATCGATGACTCTCTCTCATCGATGTTTCTAGCTTTCTATCTCTCTCCCTTTCTCTCTGTACAAAATCAATAAAATATATTTTTAAAAAAAAAAAAAAAAAAAAGGAGGACACTGGCTCTGTCTCAGGGGGGCAAGCTCCTAAGGCCTTCCCAGTTCCACTTTGAGCCTAACAGGTCAGTGCTCCTCTCGGCCCAGAGGTCCCCTTGGGCTGAGAAGCACAGGTGCCAAGCTCAAAGCCTTATTTCCCTTCTGAAGAAACATTAAGACAACCTACGATAACCAGGCTCAGGACCTGTATGTCCTGCCCAGGAGACCAGAAGATATTCTCTTTGATCACTTAAGTGCCCCTTACAAACACCCAGGAACAGGAAAGGCTAGAATCAAATTATGTCCTCTCCCCCTAAAGAATGCTGTGGGTTTGCCTATGAGGGTTCATTTCCTGTTGTATTTACTGTACATAACTCACTCACATGGGAGTTGGCTAGAGGGGTTTTACCTGCTAACTATCGGCTCCATGACCATCTCATTCACTACTGTGTTCCTGTACCTGAAATATAGTGGGCATCAGTAAATATGATGAGTGAAGACATAAAATAAATAAGTGAATGAGCTCATAATTAATCTACTTATAGCATGCTCAGAGTCATTACAATGAGTGGTTCAAAATATGGACTCTAGCCAGACTGACGAGGTTTGAATCCTGTTCCATGACCTTGGGCAAGTGACTAAACTTCTCTGGCTCAGTTTTATTCCCTATAAAATGGGGTTAATAATAGTACTGACCTCATAAGTCGCCATGACAATCAAATTAGTTATCACATGCTTTTTACAAGTGTTATCTGGCAACATCATTGTCACAAAGACGTCAGGCATGGGAGAATCCAACTGAGAACATGAACATGAATTTTCATCTGGACATTGTGTTCCTTTATTCAACAATATTTATGGAGTATTATTGTATATCTGGCTCTCTCTCTCAAGCTCCCTCTACTTAGGTACAAGGAAAAGGAAACCATGTTTAGATGTGATATCTGATCAGGAGAAATAGCCTTCTCTATGAAGGATACTTCTTGCTGAGTTTGCATGGCCAGCACTCCACCCTGAGCACATCCTCTTACGCCCTAGACCTTCATATATCAAAGCCCAAAGCCATGGTCTTCTGTCCTAGGTAGAGAGCCAGCACACAAAAGAACGAAGAGATTAATATTTGGGGGGAAGAGCCAGGAAGGCCATTAAGCAGCTCTAGGGAAGAAATGGTATCTTCCTGCTTTTTCTCTGAGGCTACTGTTTTATCCTCCCATTATCTGGGATTGATTTTGAGGCCATCTGAAGATTAATTCACCTAGTGCAGTGGTTGGCAAACTCATTAGTCAACAGAACCAAATATCAACGATTGAAATTTCTTTTGAGAGCCAAATTTTTAAAACTTAAACTTCTTCTAACGCCACTTCTTCAAAATAGACTTGCCCAGGACGTGGTATATTGTGGAAAAGCCACACTCAAGGGGCCAAAGTTGCAGTTTGCCGACCACTGGCATAGTGTAAGGACAAAGGAAATAGGCCTCATCTTGCACCATTTCTTAACCTAGTTGAGAGGCACTCACCCACTATCCAGGATCTCAGAAGGACTGAGGTAAGGCTGAAAGTGGAATAAGAGGCCCAAGAATCTTCCAGAAGCCCACCTATACAAGCCCCATGATTTTGAGACAGGGCAGCCTCCTACCACCATCCTCAGAGTTGCAGCCAGGCCAGACTAACTAAAGACCCCCAAACAGCCCTCAGGAGGTGAGAGCTGATGGGGCTCTGTCTGCCTGGCTCCATGGCTTCAGGACCTCAGGCATTAACACTTCACAGACAGGGGAGGAATTTCTCCCATGAGGTTTCCAGCTGCAGCCAGCTTTTCCCTGAAGATGGACACACGCTGGTCACCACATCCAGAGGGAGAGCCAGGAAGGGCTGAGGACCACGCTAAAATTCTCCCCAGTGCTTCCAGCTTTCCCCTTAACTCCTTTGCTAATTTGTTATCACTGAGCTTCCAAGCACATACAAGGATTGAAGGCTCTGGGGGAATGACACTCGGGTTAGCAAGCCTCTCCTACTCCAGGGCCTCTCAAAAGTCACCCAGAGCCTGTGGCCAGCCCAGACAAGCCATTAGCAGCAGAAAGTTCAAGGGCAGACAGCAGACAGCCAGAACACAATACACACACCTTCCAGGGAGAGGACCGAAGAGGTAAGGGTGAAGGCCTGAACCGACCTCATCACCACATCATCCTGCCTTTCTTCCCCTGGCTCCAGGTGGAAGGCCACCTCCGCAGTGAGCATCAGGTCCGTCTGCAAGCTCCTACAAACGTGTCCCCGGCGCTTAAGTGGCGGCAAATTTAATTATTCTAAACCCTGTGAACCCGGTCTAGGCCGCCAGGGAGCTGAGATGCGGCTGGCTCACCTGAGGCCTCAGAAGCCCAGGCCACCGCAGGGACAGGACCAGGAGCACAGGCGGAGCCTAGAGAGGAACCCAGCAGGGGAGGAGTCGGGCGGTCAGCTGGGCGGCCCGGAGCCCAGGTCCCCACCCAAGGTCCCCACCCAAGGTCAACAGCGCAGCGGCGCGCACTCACCGGTTCGGCGCCCGGGGCCGTGCCCGGGCCGGAAGGGGGCGGCCCGTGGGGCTGGAGCGCAGGTGGCAGCGCCGGGCAGAGCGCACCGTGGGCACCGCGGCGGGGGCTG